AGAGAAGCTTCTTTTGCAACAGATGGAGTCTGGTACAGAGTTCCACAACTGGTCACACAGAGAATAAGTGTCTGTGAGACACCCAGTCCTAAGTGACACATCTACAATGGAACCTGTACAGTTAAGGCTCATGGAACATAGTAGAACAAGTGGTAGAATACCAATGCATCTCTCATCAGCAAAGCTTCCTCAGACAACAGAGGGTAATAAACACAAAAGGCCACAAATGACCAAAATGTAGATAATAAGATACTGTGGAGTGCATGTCACTGGATTGGACTCCTATATCAAACCTCACCCACCCATGGCTCAAGGGACCATTGCAGAAGAGGGGGCAGAAAGATTGTAAGAGCTGGGGTTGGGCATGACCATAAGGAAACAGAATCTTACAGGCTTCTGTGACCTTACAGCAATGGTGTCAGCATGCACAAGACCCAAGCAAACTCAATCAGATAAAACCCAACAAAGAACTGCGGAAATGGACAGGAGACTCCAACCTTAGCGAATGAATTATTGATAGCTGATCACTGTTGGGTGAGGGAGAGTTGATATTCATTAAGGGAGTGATGCTAGATAGGTTGACCAGGCTCCAGTGGATGAACTCACACCAAAAAACAGCTGGGTACACAAACTTGACTCGATAGGCTTTAACATATCAGACAGAATGTATGAAATTCAGTGGGCTAACTATGGGGGTGGTTTCAGATAGGGGAGGTTTAAATATGATTAAAATGTATTGTATGAAATCCATAAAAATTCGATTAAAAAAGATGTCAGACAGGTCCCCTGAAACTGGAGTTATGTGCCACTTTGTGGGTGCTGGGAACTGAATCAGGGTCCTCTGCAAGAGCAGTATGTGTTCTTAACTGCTTCACCATCTCTCCAGCCCCAAGGGTCTTGTTATGCAGGCCAGGCTGTGCTTCAATTTGAGATCCTCCTCCTCAGCCTCCTGAGTACTAGAATTATAGATGTGAGTCATCACACCCAGCTTCATTTCAGAGTTCCTTTGTTACAACAATCTCATTTTTATCTTATTAATTATTATTATTATTATTATTATTATTATTTGGTCTTTTTGAGACAGGATCTTCTTGTGGCCACAGTTGGCCTGGAGTGCTCTATGGAGACCAGGCTGGCCTTGATCTCACAGAGATCTGCCTGCCTCTGCCTCCCAAGTGCAGGGATCAAAGGCATGTGCTACCACACCCAGCATATATATATATTTGAGATGAGTCTCTCCTATCCCAGCCTGGCCTTGAAGTTCTGAAGTAGAAGAAGATGACCTTGAACTTCTGACTTCTGATCCTCCAGTGGCAGGAGAGTAAGTTGGAAAGTGAGATCAAAATTAGCATATTAAAGAATGAGAAAGCTGGGGGTGGAGAGAAAGAGAGAGAGAGAGAGAGAGAGAGAGAGAGAGAGAGAGCACCAAGGCTACCAAATAACAGAACATGCTTTCAAAAAGTCTTGCTATACAAGAGACCTATAGAGGTCCCAATCTGCTGGGCACAGGTCCCACTGAGCCTCCAATCTTCCTCACGCTCTTTCTTAATAAACTGTCTCTGCTTCTACTGCTGTCCACATGTCCCTGTCCAGTTCCTTGTTCTGAGACACAAAAACCTGGAAATCCCAGCGGGTGTCCATTGGACCCACCCTGATATCCATCTGAAATATTCCTACCTCTACCTTCTGAGTGCTGGGATTTCACCACACTCATTTTATGTGCTGCTGGGGGTTCGACCAAGGGCTTCTTGCATGGGAGACAAACATTCTACCAACTGAGCTACCTCCCCAGCGACCTGTACCCTAATTAAAAAAAAAAAGATTTATGCCTATCGCAATGCTTATCCTTTGCTCAGAGAGATACGAAATAATGATCATATGATCATAATTGTGGAATTGTTTATTACATAGTGTACTGAGACACATTACACCACCCCTAAACCTCTTCTAAGAGACTTGACAAAACATTAATATAATTTCTAACAGCATAAGGCTGTGTCCATAGGATGAACTCACCCCCACCCCTTACCCATTAAAATGATTTTATGGAAAGGCTAAACATTGCCAAGAAGTTTTACTATTCTTGCCAACACCTAATGATAGGCCCTGACCTCCTTTTTTGTTTTTTTCAAAACATTTACTAAAAAGATCTTAGAACTGTCAATATGTATCTTTTGCAATTCAGAAGTCTGGATCTGAGAGCCATTCCGTGGAAATGGAATCAGCAGGAAGGTAGGGGCTCCGTTTCCCAGTCTCTGTGGGATGACTATACTCCAAATCATGGTGACTAACCTGATTATGTGCCAGCAACTATCTGAGTGCTTTATATACATAAAATCACCCTCATGGGCTATATAACTAGTAGCAACTGGCAAAACTGACCAGTTAGGTTCAAAGTCCTGTAGTAGTCTGGGCACAATCAGGTTTGTGCCTGTAATTCCAACAATTTAGGGGTGAAGGCAGAAGGATAAATTCAAGATCATCCTTGGTCCACTCTCCCAATGCCCCCCTCCCCACCCCCAAAAAACCCTAAAACAGGAGACAATCAATCACAGGTTAGGCAGAAATTGAATAGAAAGCATTAACTATAAAATATAACCAATGAGGTCAAAATTAGCATATTAAAGAATGAGAAAGCAAAATAGGAGAGAAAGGAGAGAGAGAGGGAGAGAGGGAGAGAGAGAGAGCGAGAGAGAGAGAGAGAGAGAGAGAGAGAGAGAGCGCTGTATGTACTCAAGGCTGAGGAAGAGTACCCAAGGGAAGACAAATTTGAAACTCATCCCCATTCTCTTGAGGAAGGCCTGGGTTGGCTACCAGAAAGCAGAGGTTTGCTGGTGTGGTGAGGGTGCAGTGATGTGCAGTTGCTGGGCAAACCCCCTTAGAGCATCATGGTATCATGGTTTTGTGTGTGTGTGTGTGTGTGTGTGTGTGTGTGTGTGTGTGTGCAGATGAGGAGGAATCAGAGAAACAGCACAGGTGATTCCCAGAGTTCCTGGGGTAAGGGTACCAGTTGGGGAGGAAGAAAGCTAGAAAGAGGAAGGTCAGTGTGTGACCCTGCTGGCCACCAAGGACTGTATGTGGGCCTCCCTGAGCTTTGGTTTCTATGTCCAGAGAGCTGAAGAAAGCCTAAAGCTGCAAGGTCACAGAGGGATGGAATCCTAGACCTGTGGCTGAGGGTGACTCTGCTGAAAGTTCTCATACCACTACCTCTGGTCCCCTACCAGAAACTTCAGGGAGCCTCTTCCCGCTGCAGTACCCTCAGTCTTCTACTGAGAAAGCTTAGCTTCATGCTCACTTTAAAGGAACGGTCTAATGAATTGTGTTATTTAGCGTAGAGCTTCTATTGAAATGTATATTCAAGCTGAGGCAATAAATTGATAACTGACAAAAACACATGTTCAGTCTTTAGGATTTATGGGTTTGGGTACTCATGAGGTTGAGAATCTGTGGGTGGCCTATAAAACAAACTAAGAATTTCTTTTATTGTAATGGGAAGTTCCCTGAGCAGTTATATATGCTTGTTGCAAACACAGGAAACCAAAAGGCTATAAAATGGAAAGTCAAAGGTCTTCATATCCCATATCCTTCTTCCACTAGGGATAAACACTTTTAACAATTTGGTCTTGCCATCCAGACTGTCAGCAAGTAAATTTGATTAACACAGAATGCCATGCAGACTCTTTAAAAACTTTGAAAAAGGGGGGGAGGGGTTGGGGATTTAGCTCAGTTGTAGAGCACTTCCCTAGCAAGCACAAACCCCTGGGTTGGGTGGGGTGGGAGGGGCACACAACAGAAAATAACAAAAAAGACCCAAAAAACTTAAAAAAAAAATTAAGACGGTTTTATTATGTAGACAGAGCTGGTCTGGTACTATGCAGCCCAGACTGACTTTTGCACTCAAAGCAATCCCTCTAAAGGGCTGGGGAGATGGCTCAGTGTTAAGAGCACTGGCTGTTCTTCCAAAGTGCTGGGTTCAGCTTCCAGCACCCACATGGCAACTAACAACTGTTCTTAACTGCAGTTACAGGTGATCCAACACCTCTTCTGACCTCAGGCATTGCATGCAAGGGGTTCACTTACATACATGAAGGCAAAACACTCACACATATTTTTTTTAAAAAAGGAGCTGGAGAGATGATGGCTCAGCAGTTAAGAGCACTGGGTGCACTTTCAGAGGATCAGGGTTTGGTTCCCAGCACTAACAACCATCCTTAACTCCAGTTCCAGGGGATCCACCGCCCTCTTCTGGCCTCCGTAGGCATTGCATGCATGTGATATACATACATGCAAGCAAAATAGACACATAAAATAAAAATAAGTAAAAAAAAAGTAATTCTCCTGCCTCAGTCTCTCGAATGCAGGGATTACAGGCACTTGGCACCACGCCCTTGTAAAACATTTTTTCCTTACTAGATCAATATATGTGATTCAATATATACAGATCTCTAAAATAAAAAAAATTAAACTACAGTATAGTGAGATTTGGGGTGCGATCCCTTCACGGGGTCCTTTTTTGACTTAGCCTCTCCCTCTTTGCAGGTTCCTGCTCAGAGTCCTAACGCTTCAGCTTTCATGTCCAAGCTTCTCTTATTTTAGCTTCTCATCTGATTCCTCCAGAGGGGGCAACCTCAGCTTGAGATGGAGGGGCATCTGGAAGCTCACATCTAACAGTCTCCCAGGACCCGCCGTTTCAGCTATCTTAAGTCTCCGGGACCTTAGGGCAACCGGACCCATCCAGTTACTGCAGACCCTGCAGCTCTGGACTGGAATCCGCTCCCCAAGCCCAGCTTCATCGCGGGCTCCACCCACTCACCTAAGCTCCGCCTCCAGAACGCGCTTCTCCTGCCCCGCTTCATCGCGGGCCCCACCCACAACATAGGTTCCTCCCACTGTAACCACGCCTCTCTGGATCCGCCC